GCGCGCCGCCGAGGCAAATGGGCAGATCACCGCAGTGTCTCACGATATGATCAGACACACCGTCTACATGCCGTGTTTCGAAAGCTGACTGCTGGCGACCAACGCGTTGCTGCGGCTCCCTCGCCCGCTCTTTCTAATCGTCTGTTCCCTGCCCTTTGTCAGCCAGGCTTTTGGACTAATGCAATGTATGTTGCAACTGTTTCGAGATAGTGTTTTGAGTTCGCACTTGTGGACTCGCTTTGGCAGATGCGCACGCGCAAACCTTTTCTTTCATATCAATGCGCGGCGTCTGGTCGCCTGCGGGCCCGGCAAAAAAAACGATGGAGGCCTTCTAGAGCTCTGGCAGGTCTCAGGATGTGGGCCCGACTGTAGCTTCCTGGGACACGGATGATGGGAATGTATAGGTTGCAGCATTCACCGATGTCTCTTTGCACCGAGTGTCGTGGCCAGGTCTGTTGCGATCTATCGCTCATATATGCTGTTTTTCCCTACCTTGGCTCTGCCTAGAAGGGTTCTTACTCTCTAGCTTAAAGGGGCCGGGCAGTGGAAAGCGCCCCGGGCGGTTCCCCCAGCCCCCGCCCCGCGCTTCCCCCAGTCCCCTGGGAGCTTTAGCTTGAGCTTTTAGCTTTACCTTTAGCTTTAGCTTTAGCTTTAGCTTTAGCTGTAGCTTTAGCTTTAGCGCAGCTTTAGCTTAGCTTTCGCTTAGCTTTATCTTAGCTTCAGCTTAGCTTTAGCTTTAGCTTCAGCTTAACTTTAGCTTAGCTTTAGTTTAGCTTTAGCTTAGATTTAACTTTAGTTTAGCTTCAGCTTAGCTCTAGCGTAGCTTTAGCTTAGCTTTAGCTTTAGCTCTAGCTAGCTTTAGCTTAGCTTTAGTTTAGCGTTGGCTTAGCTTTAGCTTAGCTTCAGCTTAGCGTTAGCTTATCGTTAGCTTAGCTTCAGCTTAGCTTTAGCTTAGCTTTAGTTTTAGCTCTAGCTTAGCTTAAGCTTATATTTAGCTCAGCTGTAGTTTATATTTAGCTTAGCTTTGGCTTAGCGTTAGCTTAGCTTTAGCTTAGCTTCAGCTTAGCTTTAGCTTAGCTTTAGCTTAGCTCTAGCTTAGCTTTTAGCCCAGCTTTAGCTTAGCTTCAGCTTAGCTTTAGCCTAGCTTTAGCTTGGCTTTAGCTTAGCTTCAGCTTATAGTTAGCTTAGCTTTGGTTTTGCGTTAGCTTAGCTTTAGCTTAGCTTTACTTAAGCTTTAGCTTAGCTTTAGCTTAGCTTTAGCTTAGCTTTAGCTTAGCTTTAGCTTAGATGTAGCTTAGCTGCAGCTTAGCTTTGCTTAGCTTTACTGTTACTACGAATGCTGCTTTCCTAGGGGCTCCAACTCCTAGGTAGGGTCGCGCTGGGATATTTTTTTGTTTTTTTCTCCTCCTCTTTCAGATCAATGCGTGGCGTCTGGTCGCCTACGGTCCCAGCAAAAAGCGTGATAGAGGCCCTCTAGAGTTCTGACAGGTCTCAGGATGTGGGTCAGACTGTAGCTTCCTAGGCCACGGAGGATAGGAATGTATAGTTCACTATATAGATCGATACATATTTAAATGTATATACGCACCAGCGTATGGATGTATGAATGTATGTATGTATGTTTGTATGGTTGTATGTATGGATGTATGTATGTTTGTGCATGTATATATATATGTGTATGTATGTGTATATGTGTATGTATGTATGTATATATATATATATACAGAAATGGGTCGGGGCCCCAGGCCCCCCACCCAAAGTGCACTGATTTATCATCTGGCCGTTTCGGGCCCGGCGGGGGCGGCAAAAAACGTCAAAGGGTGCCGAGAGACGTCCAAGAGGGCGCCAAGATGGCCCCAAAGCGCTCCAAGAGAGCCCAACACCGCACAAGAGCGTTTCAAAATTGGTCCAACATGGCTTGAAGGCAGCCCAAGAGGGTTTCAAGACGACCAAGATATTCTCAAAAGGACTCACGAGGCATTCCGGAGGCGAAACAGATGTTTTTGAGTGTGTTTCAAAAAAGTTAATGTTCTCGCTGTTTCGTGCTTCCAACGGTCCAAGAGAGCCTACGAGGCCCCAGAAATCAGTTCAACACTGCCCAAAAGGCAACCAAAGAGGGCGCCACGACGGCGCAAGAGAGCCCCAAGACGGCCCAGAGCACCCCAAGACGTCCCATGCGGCGCCCAAGATTGCCCAAAGGGCCCCAAGACGGCCCCAAGAGGGGGAACACGAACCGACAATTCGAGCCTTCCGCCCCAAGAGGCCTCCAGGAGGCCTCAAGAGGCTCCCAACAGAGCCCAAGAGGCCCCCCAGAGGCCCCCTAGAGGCCCCACGAGGCCCCAAAGAGGCCCAAAAAGGCCCCAAGAGCACCCTAAACGGCCCCCAAGAGGCCTCCAAAACATGTCGGTGCATAGCAAAGGACCGCCTAGCCTATCGTGGCATCGCAGCGTTGCATGACTCAGGAGGGAAAGAAACACACAGACACAATTAATCGTCGATTCCTCAGAAAATATGGGAAAATCTGGGAAGTGGGGGGGGAAGACAAAAACCAAGAACATATGGGGAAATACGTATTTGTGTGTCCTGGTGCCCCTTCAAATGACATTACATGGCACGGCACAGCACGGCAGAGCTGACCGTGTCAGTGCATATCACAGTATGGTTCAGCATGGCATTGCATGTCATGACACATCGTGGCGTACTATGGCATTCCAATGCGCATACATTAATCGAACAGCACCGTACTGCTCCGCGCAACAGTAAACAGAAATCATGCAAATATCACACCGCCGTTGTTGCTCTTACCGCCGTCCTGCTTATCTGAGCCTCGCAGCTCAGCATGGCCTAGCATTGCATTGCATTGCATTGCATTGCATTGCATTGCATTGCATTGCATTCCATAGCACGGTATGTCGTGTCAGTGCATGTCATATAACGCGGTAGCATCGCCCTTCATTGAAAACATAGCATGATATGGCTCAGCGTATCATCCCATGTATTATCACAGCATTTCACAGCACAGCATGGCACGGCATGCAATGCGCACTGTAGAGTGTATCATGTTTTTGCGTTGCATACAGCATAGTGGCATTGCGCTTTACAGTGTAGCATTGTGTATCATGGCATTCCATAGCATAGTGCAACATGGCGCTGTAGCGCTGCATTTTTCCTGGCCCATAGCTTGGCGACAGATCACCGGTCGACCTGTCGATGAGAGCGGAGGAGGAGGAATGAGGAAGGGGCAGGAGGAAACAGAGAATGTTGAACTCATTATTCATGAATGGCTTGTTGTCGCAATGCGGTCATCACTCGACCAGCTAGACCTAAGCGCGCGCGATGGGTCTAGTATATATTTCCCTACCTAGGCTCTGCCTAGAGGGTTCTTACTCTCTTAGCTTAAAGGGGCCGGGCAGTGCAAAGCGCCCCGGGCGGTTCCCCCAGTCCCCGCCCCGCGGTTCCCCCAGTGAGTAAATGAGTTCATGCAGTGTATATTATCACTATGATCTTGAACTCCCAGGGCAGATTGTTGGTATTGTGTTTATCCGTAGGCACCCTCTTGGCCCGAGGTTATCGTGCGTTTCAGGAAAATATTCCTCCGCCACCATCCTGTCGGATATCATTCGATGTGCTTTCGCGCGTCAGTGGTAGCAGGAGCGTGACACTCCCAGGAGTGTTGGTCGATCCGCGGCACGATGTCGGGCGAACCGAAGGATGGCAACGGCGAGGGACAACGCAGGGCAGAAGATCTAGCGGGCAGGAAGGAATTGTCGGATGGCACGGTAGACTCAGATGTGTTCACTGGCGAGCAGAAAATTGAGCTCGAGCAGATGATGAAGCAGCAGCTGGCGCAGACGGAGGCCATGCTGCTGAAGTACCTAGGCAAACACGGCGCGAGCGAGAAGGAAGAGGGTGCTGACCGGCGACCTCGCGATCCGTGGGATTCAGATGACCCGTGGAAGGGTCAAAGTCGGTCGGAGAGCCAGGGCGGAGAAAGAAGAGAATGGTCTCAAGAAGAATGGGACGAGTGGAAAAAGGCCAAGGGCGGCAGGTACGGGAGCGACTGGAGGGACCAGAAGTGGGAGAAGGGCGACTACACTGATCCGGAGGCCTTCATGGGCTGGTCAGACTATAGATTGTGGCGTCGCCGAGTGGTCAGGTGGCTCGACCAGACAGACGTACCGCCGAGGAAGAGGTCCGACAAGATCCTGAAGGTATTAGACAGGGACTTGCAGAGAAAATTCGAGGATATCTCAGACGCAGTGTTGCAGTCAGCTGAAGGGCCGATGACGATCATCAAGCGACTCGACATCATGAGCGGACAACGCATAAACGACGAGAAAAGAAGAGCGGGCCGAGAATGCTTGATGGGATATCGACGCAAAGCGGATGAAACCCTCTCAGTATACACGGCAAGGATGGACCAGAACTTCGAGAGGCTGAAGGGCCAGGGGCTCGAATTAGACGACAGCTGGAAAATATTTTTTCTTGAAGAAGGCATAGGACTGGATGAGAGCGGGATGCAGATGCTGAAGGTCATGAGCCGCGGCTCCAAGGACTATGAGGAAGTGATCGGCGCGGCGAGAGAGATGGGCGTGACACGCAACGAGCATCTCGGCGCCCGGACGGGCAAGGCCACGGCGGCGACCTACGCACTGCAGGATGATGACGACGACCTCTGCGAGTACAGCGACGTATCTTCCATGACGTCGGAGCAGGAGGCTTTCGTGCTGGAGTCGATCGCCGAGGCCGACGTAGACGAGTACGAGTTACCAGAGGTGCTGGCGACGTTGGAAAAGGACAGAAAGAAGACGTGGAAGGAGAACCGGGACTAAAAAAGGCAGCTTCGAGTGGATAGAATATTCAACCAGACCCCGGGGGGGCCTTCGGGCTCCAGGGCGCCGGCACCGCCGCCGCCGCACCCGGGGAGACGTGACGGACTACATCGGAGTGCGAAAGGGATAGTGCGTGAGCGGAAGAGGAGACTTCCGATCGAGAAACTAATGAAGATCACCAAGTGTCATCGATGCCACAAGAAGGGACACTGGAGCCGAGAATGTCCCGAGAAGGGAGACTCGACGGGAGCCGCAGCGGGAAGCGGGTTCGTGCTGCTCAATGAATCGGAGCCGAGCTACGCGATCCTGGCCTCGGAGAACATCACGTCGATCAACGCGCGCGGGTTGATTCACCAGGTTGTGGACCGCATCAGATCCGAGAAGGTCGAGGCCATGAGCCTGCTGGTCACCGGCTCAGGGGACATCGTGGTGGACACGGCGGCGGGCCAGGCGCTGATCGGGCCGCAGGCACTGCGGAGGCTGGAGAAGCGTCTCGGCGAGCTGGGCTTCCGAGTAGTTCGGGTCAAGAGCAAGCGCCAGTTCGCGAGAGGTGTCGGCGGGAAGACGCCGGTGCAGTCAGGACTCCTGGTCCCCACAGGCATCGAGGGCAAGACAGGCATCATGGAGCTGGACCTGATCGAGCAAGACGTGCCGGCCCTGATGCCGATCAGTATGCAGGAGCAGATGAAGGCAGTGATCGATCTCCCGAAGGCCGAGATGACTCTGAGGGCGCTAGGGGTGACCACCAGCTTGAAGCGGCTGTCGAGAGGTCATCGCACGATCGCGATCGACAAGCTCGGCAGCCCAGAGGATTTTGAGCTTCCGGAGGCTGTCCGGAAGCGTTTCGGACTGCAGGCGTCTGACTTTCGCCTGAGCTCGAGCGAGAGCTACGTGCTTCCTCCTCCCGCTCGGTCGTCCTCCCTCGTGTCGTCGATGTCGTCTCCGGAACAGTCGACTCGGAAACCCAGGGCCGATTGGGCTCGTATCGAGAAAGGCCCGGCCTCGCTATCGAAAGTGATCAGCAACGACACCCAGAAGCATCAAGGAGGACCTCCAAGTGCAGGTGAGCACCTCTTTCCCCCCCCCCTCTGGTTCTGGAGGCCCTCGAGGCGTCCCGGGAAACTCAGAGGCCTTTCGGCGGATGTCTTGGGAGGCGGTCTCTCCTACTCATTTTTCGTCCCGTCGTCGACGTCGTGATCCGACGCATGTGGCCATTTCTGGGCCGAGCGGTTTGAGGAGGACGTTTCGAGACGCTGTCTCTCACACGGGCTGCAGATGCCATGGTGACGTACTGGAATCGAGCCGAGAGAACGTTTCTGCAGGCGATGACGGGCTCCACCGCGAGCGACAGTGGCGAGCCGCAGTGCGTCAAGTACTTGCTGACCGGAAACGAGTATCCGAACGGGCTGTCGGTGGGAGACAAGTTCTGGGCGTACCTCAGCTCCAGGATCGTGGCCGATCACCAGCACAAGGGGCTGAAGCTGCTGCGCATGTTCCAGAACGGCCACCAGTGGCCAATCAAGACCAAGAAGGCGGACAGGTTCTACACGGAGCGCCAGATGAAGTGCAGTCATTCCTGGGCACGTCTCATCAGTTTCGGCAATTCCCACGGCAGTTGGGAAGTCTGCGGGGACTGCGACATGAGGGTCTCGTACTTCCAGAAGGCGTCCGTCATCTACAAGGGGAAGGGCAAGTCGCTTCAGAGCGGCTCGACGGTGCTGAACGTGAGCGACCTCGCCAAGCCCCCCGGGGGCAGGGCATCGGTGAGGAACTCGGTGGAGTGCACGAGGGTCGCTCTCATGACGACGACGAGCGACCGGGGGCCGACCCAGGGCTCGGAGGAGCCGATGAGGGTGAAGAAGCGCTCCGAGGAGATGGTGCAGTATCGGGCTTTGGAGGCGCCCATGGAAGTAGACAGCACAGGTCCAGCGCGCCCTCGCCAGCACGCCCCTCGTGCGTCGCTGATCAGCGAGATCAAGAGCATGAAAGAAGAGATGCCCAACCAGAATCACGGCCTGCTCGCCCTGGTGGTGGAGCAGGGAAAAGCCATTCAGCACATCCAGGCGGCGCAGCTCGGCATCCAGGAGAAGCAGGCCATGATGGAGAGGCAGATGGCGATCGAGGACCAGCCGAAGACGCTGCCGCCGCAGGTGCCGGCCCAGGCGGTGTTCCCCGTCGGGTGGGAGACGATCGAGTCGCCTCCGACCGCCGGCGGTGCCGGCAGCGGACCAAGCAGTCCCTGAAGGACGGCAGGTGCTTGTATGGCCTGAGTGAGATGCCCGAGGCGGAGAGCCTCGATCGGATTCTAAGCAGCGCCGGATGGCGAGCGCACGAGACTTTCTTTTTCCAGGAAGAAGCGCCCCACTATCTTGGGGAGGACGGGAGGATGAACCTGATTAGAAGGCCAGATGGAGTGTGGGCGACGGAGAAGGAGGGGGGCGCTTCTCCAGACGACCAGGCAGAGCGGTTGGTGGCGATGTCCCTGCCTGTTTGGCGGGATCTGTTGCTCTCAGGCGAGTTTAATGACGATTTCGAGGCGATTGCTTCCAGGAGGGAAAAGAAAGCATGTGAGAAGGCCCTGCGCTTCTCGGCAGGACCATCCCACGGTGAAGGACGGCTTCCAAGAGGGGCGCAGCTTCCACCAGAGGGACAGCTTCCAGGAGGGGTGCAGCTTCCACCAGAGAGACAGCTTCCAGGAGGGGGGCAGCTTCCACCAGACGGACAGCTTCCCCATCCGGAACGAGAAGTTCAGGGACCCTTCGAAGACCGACCTCAGGGAGCATCCACCCGCTCCCCGGCTTGCCTAGCGGCTGTCCGCAGTCAGACCCCCAAGTCCGAGAGACTCGAGGCCTCCAGGAGACGGCAGTGGGCCGACAGGGCCTTTGTCGAGGTGTATTCTCCTCCTCGGATCGGTCCCGAGGTCCAGAAGCGCAGGATGGGATGTCTCGGGAGTTGGGATTTGGAAACCGGATGGGACTTCAGAGAGGGGGGGGTCAGACTTGCGGCTAGGCAGCGCCTGAGAAAAGAGAAGCCAGCAGTTGCCATGATGGAGCCCCCGTGCCAGACACACAGCGCCATGTTTAGGGTCAGCAAGGGGTCCATGGATTCCGAGCACCGCGAGGCTCTGATCTCGGAGGGCCTCACTCACCTTCATCATGCGGTCGACCTGGCCCTCATCCAGTACCGCGGAGGGCGCTCCTTCGTGCTGGGGCACCCTGACACGGCGTCGTCCTGGGAGGACCCCAGAGTGGTCCGATTGGCGGTGCTTCCGGGCGTCCAGGCGGTTTCGTTCGACATGTGCTGTTTCGGTCTCACGGTGGATCCCGAAGGCAAGTTGTCCAGGAAGCGAACTAGACTGCTGACAAACGACCCAATAGTGATCGAGATGTTCAAGAAATATCAGTGCTCTGGGGACCACGAGCACTTCGTTCTGGAAGGTCGGGCGGTGACTCGAAAATCCCAGGTGTACCCCGAGGCCTTCTGCAGGCACATGGCCGAGACCGTCGCCAAGATCGTGTCTTCCATGGCACGCAAGTCAGCCCACCCCGAGTCGTTCTGGGGACTGATAGATCAGGTCAACTCTTTCCCAGTAGGAGCGTCGGGAGGAGCGGCCCCACCCGTGAGAGAAGACGATATCGATCTGGACTCTGAAGAACAGGACGCGGACATGGGCTCTGGAGATCTCGACCCGATTCCAGAAGGCGAGGAAGGGGGAGAAGAGGATGAGCCCGACGAGGCTCAACCTCCTCTCACCATCGACGCCCGCGTCAAAGACCTGCTGTATAAGGTTCACGTCAATCTGGGACACCCTCGACTTCCCCTCTTCATTCGTGTTCTGAGGGGGGCTCACGTTCGCCCCGAGGTCCTGGAGTACGTGAAGGCGTCTTTCTCGTGTCCAGACTGCGACGCCCACCCCAAGGCAGAGCAGAGACGAAGGGCGGCTATGCCTCACACGTTTCAATTTAATCGCGTGGTGGGGATAGACGTGTTTTATGTTTCCTTCGAGGGCCGTTCTATTCCTTTTTTGAACGCGGTGTGCCACGGAACGAACTACCAAGTGGTAGCCAGGTGCAACGGATATGGGACCCCAACGGCCCGGAGTGCGTGGGAAGCGTTCGTGGGATCGTGGATCCGATATTTCGGCCCCCCGGAGTTGGTGCTTTCGGACGGCGGAGCCGAGTTTCAGGCCGAGTTCCTCAGGGGGCTGGAGCAACAGGGCGTGTTCCAACATGTGGTGAACGCGGAGGCCCCTTGGGAAAACGGCCGCGCGGAGAGACACGGGGGCTGGGTCAAGGACCTTCTGGACAAGGGATCGGAACAGACCGTCGTCGCCACGGAGAAAGAGCTCGAGATCCTGGCGTACGAGGTAGTGGCCTCGAAGAACAACTACCTTCACCGGGGGGGTTCTCTCCGAATCAACTCGTTTTCGGGCGCAATCCACGTGTTCCACACGAGTTGATGTCTGATGACCCCCTCGGTTTGGTCGGCCAGCAGGATCTCGACGAGACGGCGTGGGACCAAGATACCGCAGCAGCGGACTTCGCCAGAGCAATGAGCATCCGACGTTTTGCTAGGACCCAGTTGTTTCAGAAGGGAAGCCAGGCCCGAGTGAAGGCCGCGGCCAAGGCATCGAGACACCGCGACGCCAGATACAGTCCCGGAGACTGGGTTTACGTGTGGCGCAGGGCCCCGAGGGCCCAGCGCAAGACCTACGCGCTGCAACGCGATAGGTGGACCGGCCCCGGGGTCGTGGTCTTCCAACACAACAACAGTGTCTGGGTGTCGATGAGGTCTCGATTATGGAAGTGCGCCAGTGAGCAGCTGAGGCCCGCCACCGGGCCCGAGGCCAGGGGGGCGGAGATTCTGCAGGATCCAGCCGTGGCCTCCATGATCCGAGAGGTGCAGTCTGGCGCGCACCAAGGAGGGGTTAACGTCATGAGGGAAGGTCCACCTCCGGCGGAGGCGTGGGAAGAGCCTGTTCCCCCCGCGGACGGGTCTACCTCAGCTCCTCTTCCCTCCATGCTTCCCCCCGAGTCGCCGGGGTCCCTCGGCGACGCAGGACGCGATGAAGTTCCTCAGAGAGCGGAAGAAGCTCCAGCAGGCGCCAGAGAGACCGGTGCACCACGCGACGAGGAACCGTTCAGGCCCGAGAGGCAGGTGTCTGTCGGAGAGTCGACTCGGTCGGGGATGCCCCCGTCCGGGCCATCACCTGCTCCCTCCGTGGCTCCCTCCGGGTCGGTTGCTCCGAGTGCTGTCGGTCCGCCTCCTGGTCCCTCCGAAGGCGATATTGAGTTGCAGAGACAGGAGGCCATCCGTAGAGCTCGTCTGTTAGACTTCGGGGAGATGAGAAGGCGTCCACAGGGTGACAGGGACGCGGCCTTCCAACAAATGCGAGAAGAACAGACCCGACGTCATCGGGCTCGTTTAGGTAACCTTCCCTAGCCAGCAGTGGACCCGAGCGGAAGTTCGGATGGGCGAGTAGGTCGCATGATCGCCGACTGGGATAGGCTCGGTTCGGCGGCTCCTTCCGCTTCGGACCCGGAAAGGAACAGATCCAGGTCTCCGGGTCGAGGCCAGGCGGGTTCCGAAGAGAGGCCCGACGCCATGACGGATGTGGTTCTCATGTCTCTGTCGGAAGAAGAGCTCGGTCAATATTTTCTGCCCCTTCAGGAGGGCATGACCGAGAGGGGATGGAGCGGATCTTGGGTGGAGTGCGGAAGCGGAAACGCCGACGTGGAGCTGGTCCCGGGGGAAGGGTCCGAGGCAGGAACGTTGACCTTGGCTGCTTCGCGGGGCTCGGAAGTTTCGAAGAAGCGTCTGAGTCCAGAGGAAGCGGCTGAGTTCGACGAGGCCGACGCCAAGGAATGGAAAGCCATCATGGACACCCAAGCGGTGCGGGTGTTTCCCCCCGAGGAGGGTCGCAGGCTCCGTGAGAGGTATCCGAATCGAGTCGCGTCTAGCCGCATGGTGAGGAGGTGGAAGCCGCAGGAGGGGACTTTCTCGCGACCCAAGGCCAAAAGTCGGTGGTGTGTTCGGGGCCACGAAGACGAGGACACCGGAGAGCTCCGAGTGTACTCACCCACTCCTCAGATGGAGAGCCTTATGTTGTTCCTGACGATGTCTCTGGCGCTCGATATGGATATCCAGATCGGAGATCTTAAGAATGCTTTCTGTCAGAGCGATCCCCTGGTTCGTCCCCGTGGGAGAGTCTTCGTGGAGCCATGCGAGGGACTATCCCTCCCCCCCGGTTCCTTAATAGAGCTCATCGCCCCTGTGTATGGGCTGGACGACGCCCCACTGGCTCTCCATCGCACCACCGTGTCGTTTTTCAAGTCGAGGGGGTATGTTAAGGCCAAGCTGGAGCCGTGCTGGATGACGAAAAGAGGTCCCCGGGGTCCCGAGTCCATGGTTCTCATTGAGGTGGACGACTGGTGCATGGCCCACCTCCCTTCCGTCCAGGCCGAGGAGCTGAAAAGCTACAGAGAGCGTTTCGACTTTGGCAAGATGGTGAGGCTCGACGCTTCGGGGGTAGATTACATAGGTCGCCGGTTGAGGAGGCTTAATGATAGGATTCTTGTGGATCAGGAAAAATACATCCTGGAGCAGATACACCGTCTTCCCCTCCCTCGTGCCCGTCGATCCAACCACGATGAGCCACTCGTCGGCCGCGAGATCTCGGATTTCCGATCCATGGTGTATCGTCTCAACTGGGTCGGTCGGGAGACGCGAGCGGAGGCGTCGGGAACTGCCTCCTTGCTCGCGAGTAGGGTCACGCATCCTACCGTCGGGGACGCCGTGGTGCTGAATAAGATGGTTGACCATCTTCGTCAGACTGCCAATGTGCCTATCATCGTTTGGCGTTTCAATATTCGTTCTATGCTGTTCGCTACGGCCTCCGACTGCGGCGGAGTCGCGGCGAACAGCGGGGACAAGCCCCAGCCAGCGTGGCAAGTATATGCAGCTGATGCTGCTTTGTCCCGCGGGTCCCGGGCCCGAGTCACCCCATTGGCATGGCGCTCGTGTCGGGTGAAACGTCAGGTCCCTTCGACGCTCGCCGGAGAGGTTCAGTCACTGAGCGCGGCCCTCGCGGAGGCCGAGTGGCTTCAGATGCTGTTCTACGACGTTCTCCAGGGCAACCTTCTAGACGACTCCTGGAGATCCCACATAGGCCCCTTTGCCTCAGTGCTGCGCAGGAGCTGTACCCTGGACCTGACCCCCGAGGGAAATATCAGCGTGGTGGATGCCAAGGGCATCTTCGATACGTTGGATAAGGAGACCTCTGGCAGTAAGAACGACAGAAGAGCTGCGATCGATCTCGCAGTGTGCAGGGACTCTCTAGGACGCGTTGGGGGAGTAGTTCGATGGGTCCCACATCCCATGATGCCCGTAGACGTGATGACAAAGGCAGACCTCTCCAAGTCAAACGCCGCGCAGCTGCAGCTGCTGCGCTCAGGTCTTTTGCAGATCACCTCCGAGAGCGCGGCCTTGGAGAACCGACGGCAGGACCCGTCGTCCCAGGGCCGTTCTCGAGCCGCATCCGTTAGGCAGCTGGAGGCCGAGTCTGCTGGTCCGTCGTCGCTGTTGTTGTCGTCCTCGTCTCTTTCCTTTCTCCCATTTCAGACCCCGTCGGTGGAGCCGACCCGGTCAGGCTACGCTGTGCGATTTGAT